GAGGCAGAAGGTGCACCTTTCCATGATGAATTGCGAGAGGACCGACACGCACTGAGGGTGTTGCTTTCGATTGCGGCGCAATGAGGACCTTGCTCGTCTTGCGCGCCAGTGTGTGCACCGCTCAGGTCACGTTCGGACAAGGACGAGGCGTTTCGGCCTTGTTGGCAGGGATGAAGGGGAGAAGAGATCGAGGGAGAAGAGAGAAGGCCCCTTGATTGAAGAAAGATGCTGCGCTGCGTAGAGTGTGTGCTTGGGACGCCATTCATTAATACTCCCTGCGCCTCCCCTCCCTTCCTGTGTTCCGTCCAGAAGATTGCGCAATTGCAATTGCATTTGATTGCCGCGAGCGATGCTTGTGGCTGTGATGGTGACCGACAAGGTGCAAAGAGGTGTCGCTATGAAGCGCCACTACGCCCTTGACAAGTGGCCCTCACCAGTGGACACCGATCGACATTGCATCTGGGGCGTCCAAAAGACGCGCGAGGAATGTCTGCTTTCCACATTTCAAAGCGCACCGCTGCGCCAAAAAACGGTCCGATCTGCGGCCTCGTGGGCCCTAATCGAGATGCAAATACGGGTCCTCGAATTACCCTCGCAGCGAGTCGAGTTTGAGCAGCCATAGGCGTCTGAAAGAAGAACAATTTGCCTTGACTTGACTGCGCCCGCTTGAAACACCGCGCCGTCACAACCCTTCTCGGATCAGGAAAAAGGATTCCGTAAGTATGGCCCGCTCCGGTTACGCTGAGCGGCTCGTCTGCGCCATCGTCGCGCGTCGGCGTCCTCTTTCTCGCTGTGTTGTAGGCCATCGATGCGATGCGATGCGATGCGATGCGATGCGAGGCTTGACAATCAAATGTGTGTGGGTGTGGGCGCTCGGGACGCGATGGATCGGAGTTGCAAAGCAGATGGATGGTCCGGCGTGTCTACTGTCTGCATGCCGCCAAGAACTTTGACTTGATGATGCCATCCGAGCGCTGACCGACGGCGACGGGGCCGTCAAACGTTGCCGACTGCCCGACTGGCTTTGCTGGCTTGAGCTTCTGCTGGCCAGACAAGCACCGAGCTGTTTCCTTTCGCAGGGACGCCTGACGCGCGGCAGAGCACCGAGCACCGAGCACCGAGCACCGAGGAGCAAGTCTCAGGGTGACTCATGCACTTCCCTACGATCCGTCGTGAGTGCGCCGACCAAGCCGCAGCTCAGCTGCAGGAGCACTGGGCGCGCTCACTCATCCGCGCAACAAAGCCATCCATCCCTTCGTCGAAGCGCATCGCGCGTCTGCCGGCCGCATGCCACTATTTCGTCCCACTCTCGACTATCAGCTATTCCCATGCCATGCCATGCCATGCCATAGCCCAGCATCCCACCGCTTCACCCTCGCACCCGATCCTCACCGCTTGCTTCGCGCCCCCTCCTGCCTCATGCGCTCAGCTTGTTGCCCGGACATTGCGCTCCTCATGCCGCCTCACATCTTGCAAGATCCTCCACCACTTGCTTCTCTGTGTCTCGTCTTCGTCATTAGCGTTACTCACACTGGTTCAAGTGAGAAAGTATGTGTCTGCGATGATGCGAGCGGACAGAACCCATCAGGCCTGCGTCCCGGCTAGCAGCAGAGCTCGCCGACTTGGAAAGTCAAAGTCTCACTCTTGACTGAGCAGCAAGCGCACGTGACTCGTCCTCCTGCACAGCTTTGAAAAGACGCGTATGTATCTCGACGCGTCTTGGCCAGTCACAGTCTCGTCTCGGGTCGGCGTGTTTGCCCTGTACAACGTACAACACAGGATGCGCTCAGGCACCAGGGGAAAGGGCCGGGCCGCGCGCGTACACGTACCGGCATGCTGCGATCACGAATCGTGAATGTGAATGTTCACGCCATCATCATCCCACGCCCTCCATCCGCAGGACGCTACAGCCCACACACCGCTCGCTAGCCATGACTTGACGCGCAGCCGCACGCACACGCACACGGGAGACGAGGCGGCCAAAGCAAAGCATACAAGCGACGCGCACGTCCACGTCGAGCAAGCAGAGCTGCCTGCCTGCCCTCTCGATACTCGATACCTGCCAAGAGCAGCGCGCAGCTGTGTGCAACTCTCTATCGTGCAGCACCGCCCCCAAGTCAGAGTCAAGCTCTTTTCTTCTGTCGACGACTTACTTTTTCCCCTCCGCCAATCTGCTTTGCCCCTGCGCCCATGCCCCCCCCCCCCCCCCCTCGTTGGGCCC